CTAATTAATATTTTATTTTCTGCTTCGGGTCAAAGTCGTAGATTTAGTGTCAGAAAGTTGGAGACCCCCACCCCATTTTACCACTAAAGGAGATAACCGGAAACAAATGATATAACTTTAATTTAAATTCAGCTCTTATTAAGTGGGTGTGAGTCTCTTTTGAGGCCACATACACTCATAAACAACGTTCACACGGGGTAAGGCAGCCTGTGTGTAGCTGAGAGGCGAACCGTGGGCAACGCCCACTCCACTCCATACGTCAAGGAGCGAACGCTTGGTCCAAGGGGGTCGGAGGCGTTGCCCAGGTTGGGGACGCTCAAACTTTCCCCAGCTTCCAATAAAAGGGACGCAAAATAGCTTTCCAAATGTATTCCCATCTGAGCCTGGGGATTTGACGCCTCAAATGGAAGCACGGCATTCATTTGTGCGGCTGCCCTTTAAAGGCATGTAGACGATCCATTATAATTGGGAATAAACAGAGAATTACACCAGGAAGAAGTATTCCTCTAACTAGTCATTGATTTATGGACAGATGGGTATTACACTAGCGTATCATTCCAACTCCAAAAAACACCAGATTTTGATCCTTGTTGATTAAAAACACTAAAATATGGAATTTGGTGAACATTTTTTACCTATTGATTGACCAACGGTATTGACCATCTTTTAGAGAACAAAAAAAATGCTACATAATGTATTAAAATCGGGGAATGTTTATCCAGGGTGGATGGAATTAAACGGAACAGTAGACGGTTGTGGGTGATATGCGTTTGGCAGGCAACAGCTCGGTTTCTGAAAAATTAATTACAAAAACTCTTCCAACTAAACCGTAGTTATATTTAAAAAAACTATTAGAAGGCCTCACGAAATACGTTTAGTAAATAAAAATTGAAAATGTGACAGGAATGTGTGTACAACAATATATCTTACCGAAATACGGAAAACCGAAACAGGCGGAGGCAGATCTCGATTTAGCCCAAAGCACGCTGGGATTTGGTGTCTTTAAAAACATATTTTCTAAAAATAAAATAATTACATTATTCCGAGTGTGCTGGCTTGTTTTCTCTTTGAAAGTAATCACATAACGGTATTGTAATACACGGTTCGGCTGCATTAAATATGAAATATCTGCCGTAGTTGTATATTTATAGAGCCCTGATGAGAAACATGAGGGCTTTGTAGAGACAAACAGGAGGAAATGCCGCCAAACTGAAAACGTGACGTGGATCATAAATATATCAGCAGTTAAACAACATCTTACATTTCTTTTCACACAATACGCCTCCTTGCAGTATCAACAATAATTCGGCTGACTTTTATATTTGATCCAATTGGTAGATTGACTGTATTTAGACCATAACGGTGCACAGCTGATAGAAACGGGCACCTAGTGGTTAAAGCGCGTTATTGCATTTTTATTATTTTTATTATTAGATATTAATAGAATCCCTATAATGTATATTCATTACTCGTTATTCTCTGCTAATAGTTAATTAAAGACTGTATATAATGACTATTTTGCACATCCTTTTCAAGATTTCAAGATTTTCTAAGGTTTATTGACATATCATAGTATACACAACTACGGTGTATTTGTATTTATTTATAGAAGGACCATGCATACAAAAACATTAATCTCAGCAAAGAGAAGAGATGCAATATGCCAGATTATAGCTAATAGCTCATTTCCATCTGTGGTCCTCAGGCAGGTTCATAACAATCAATAAACAAATAATGACATTGCATGATCTCTATCAGTCAAACAATTTTAAAACCTGATTTAAGTACAGCTCAATAAATTAATACATAGTACACTTGAAATACACTTACATGATCTGCTTAAACAAGTGCTTAAACATAGGAATGTTAACTATGTTTAAGCACTTATTTTAACTGATATTATACATGTATTATACTCTTATAAGATGTATGTAGATAGTATAAGAAATGTGCACAATATGACAGTTTAATGGTGGAGGTATACACACATATTGATACAGTAGACGTCTTGTAATGCACTGTTGAGGAACCTGCGACCCAAGTTTTTCATTCATTGCATAACTACACCGTAGTTGTATACGTGTATGTGTATATGTCAATAAACCTTAGAACATCTTGAAATCTTGAAAGGGATGTGCAAAATAGTCATTATATACAGTCTTTAATTAACTATTAGCAGAGAATAACGAGTAATGAATATAATTTATTGGGATTCTATTAATATCTAATAATAAAAATAATAAAAATGCAATAACGCGCCTTAACCACTAGGTGCCCGTTTCTATCAGCTGTGCACCGCTATGGTGTAAATACAGTCAATCTACCAATTGGATCAAATATGAAAGTCAGCCGAATTATTGTTGATACTGCAAGGAGGCGTATTGTGTGAAAAGAAATGTAAGATGTTGTTTAACTAATGATATATTTAGGATCCACGTCACGTTTTCAGTTTGGCGGCATTTCCTCCTGTTTGTCTCTACAAAGCCCTCATGTTTCTCATCAGGGCTCTATAAATATACAACTACGGAAGATATTTCATATTTAATGCAGCCGAACCGTGTATTACAATGCCGTTATGTGATGACTTTCAAAGAGAAAAGCAAGCACACTCGGAATAATGTATTATTTTTAAAATATGTTTTCGGATTTCACATTTTATAAACACCAAATCCCAGCGTATTTTGCGGCTAAATCGAGCTGAGGGTCTTGCCTCCGCCTGTTTCCGGTTTCGTATTTCGTAAGGATGTATTTTGTTGTACACACATTCCTTCACATTTCAATTTTAATTTACATTAAAGTATTTTGTGAGGCCTTCTAAGATGTTTTTAAATATAACTACGGTTGTAGTTGAAGAGTTTGTAAATTAACATGAACCGAAGCTGTTGCCTGGCAACGCAATCACACAACGTCACGTCCGTTAATTCCACATCCACCTGGATTAACATCGATTTAATACATTAATGTAGCCTTTGTTTCTGCTAAAAGAGGTGTCGACCAGCTGGGGCAACAAGAAAATGTTCACAAATCGGGGTTTGTTGTTGCCGTAAAACGCGGAGGTCGGGCTAGGAATCGCTCAGTCACACATGCAAATACTTTAATTTAGGTTTACGAGAGATGGTAAAGTCCTTGGTATATGGGTCGACATGTCGTACCCTCAGTGTGTGTCTACACGATGTTTTGGTTTGTTAACTTGTGATCGCTATTGGTTTTAGGAACTTAAGATGTGTGTCGTTATATTTTGAGTTTACTGTGGTATGCCTCTCACATTTTCCTAGTGTTTATATCAGCTATATTTAGACCGGCGACAGTCTAGACATTATCTCCGTGACTTATCATATTTTGTGCTCTCGCCATAAACACTTGTGATAACAATAGTGTCGTATGTGTCTCTGGGCTGCTTCAAGGAATTCGCCTCTTTTGATCCAACGATTTTGTTTGTGAATCATTCATGGGAACAATGATTACGAATCGATCGGACTGTAATTTGCAGTTTGGTAACGTGAGCATAATGAGCGCTTTGGGAACATTTCGGCCAGGGGCGACGACCGAGAATGATCTTGGGCTGATTGAGGGGGAAAGCACATACATTGCGAGAGTTGTTGTGGTTGAGAGTGAGGTATTGTGGCGTACCTGCTGCGAACAGTCCGGGCAGGGCTCAGCAGTTGATTTTGTGTTCTAATTAGAACAACGTAATTTGCT